GTTATTAATTTGAAATCGCCGCCACCTACATTTCCTTCATTAAAAACCACCTCCAATTCAGGACCAACCGCCGCCACCACCGTAATGCGAACGATAGCCTCTGTAGCTAAACAAGGTTTGCCAGAACTAACAACACCTGCTCCTTTTACACGACCGCCAACTCCACCTTCACAACAACAACCACAACAACGACATTCTATACAAGATACCATTCCCTCATCTTCAAACTCATCTAACGTTGTCTCTCAAAATGCTACGTCAATAAATTCAATATCCAAATCATCACAACCACCGCCACCGCCACCACCGCCACCACCACCACCACCATCTTCATCGTCTTCATCACTTCACTCACAAACAAACCCACCAGCATCACTTCAATCACAAACGAATCCACCCTCACCTATACAACAATCTCAGCAGACGCAATTTCGTCCTACTACTATAGATAATGATATCAAAAAAGGTTTTTATATAAATGAATTATTTTTATATTGTATATCATTCCAAAGGAATCTACAACATTTACTAATAATAATATAGATTCTTCAAATGATTCAATTGAAGTTAAAAAACAGGGTTTCTCACAATCCAAAAATGATATTCAGGTCATTTTTACTCTGATGGTTTGAGATTATAAATGCATTATTACACGCATTTTTTAATACCTTTTCTTTATTATTTAACAGCAAAATCATAATCAATTACCACCACCACCGCCACCGCCACCAATAGTGCCAATGACACTGACAATAAATAATATACATAATCAACAGACCAATCCTTTAGAATCTCAGCAATATACTCCAAAAGATCAGGGAACTTTACTGTCGCCACCACAACATTATCATCCACAACATCGTCAACAACCAACTGCATCTAATTCATCTGTATTGATAATATTGAATTACTTTATTACTTTTATTAACTTTTGGTTTATTTAACATTATTATATTTTAATTATTACTATTTTTAATAAACATTATTTAAACAAAAATAGTCAATACAAAATTCAATTGATGTTGGTGCTAATATCAATAATCAAGAAAATCAAGAGCAGCATGATAATCAAGGTTCATCATCGTCGTCGTCGTCATCATCATCATCATCATCATCATCGACCAACGGAGAGAACCGCATACCCAATTCACTTGCAGATTTATTACATACATATGGATCTGTTGAAAAGAAATGTAAGCAGAAAGGTATTAAATCGCATATTTAAATTAAAAAAATTATATTATATATTCTTACATACATACATGTTTATTTTCTTTGCAATATACATTTGCTTTTTTCTTTCTATAAATAAAAATTTTTCCTAGATTTGAGTAAAGATAAATTTCATATTCAACAAATGCTTGATACTAGTCTTCAGAGTGTTCCGGAAACCATTGATGCAGAAAGGTATAGAAATAAAATATTTTTAATTTTTATTTA